TAACAGGATACGTAGCTTGGGGATCTGGTATGTCTCTGCATTTTCAAATCCTGATGGCAGAATGCCCAAGTGCCCCAGGATGGGGATGCAGACGCACCGTGCAGCGTCTGGAGTAGAAACGTTGGGCTTTAGATCAGGAGACTGGCATGACGGCCACCTTCTAATGCACAAAGAAATTCTGTACTTTTCAAGTAGGCCTTAAGTCCAGTTTTGTTTTGTTTTTCTCAGACCTGGTTTTGACTCCTTCCACACCTGTTCAATAATGTTATTTTTAAAAAGCTAGAATTTATTGCAGATAAAAGCCGCCTGGGCTTCCCCGCCATTTGCTGGTCTCCGATAGCTCCCAGTGCCGTAGCACTCAGCCGTTCGCACACACTTCTTCGGAGCCACAGTTGTCAGCTTTGAAACCGCGCCAGCAGCTGAAAGCTTCCAGGGCTTTTGCTCGCCCGAGCTGCGGGGTGCAGCACCGCAGCTGCGCTTTTGCCAAAGAAGCCTCAGTGCAAAGCCAAGAAAAGTTTTGGAAAGCTATGGGGAAATAACATCTCGTTACTCATACCGTAGCTTTATTTTTCCTCTTACTGATAGATGTCCAGGTGCTCGTTGTACATCCATGCAAACCTGAAGAGAGGAGAATTAACTTTCAGAGAAGATTCTTCAACTTGTGATACACAAGCTGGGAAGACACTAGGAACATATGGGTTCCCTGTCTGCTTTGTATTTACCACCAATGAGTGGTATTTATTCTCGTATATGCCATGTTCTAAAACTGGATGCAAAGTAGTCACAATGTAAACACGTTTTCTTAATGGTGAGGGGATTTTAATTAGTCTTTTTCAAGGTTCTTAGTATCTCAAGGGAACTTTTTGGTGTGTATGTGTGGTTTTATTTTAAGCTGTAGCCCAGTGAAGTGGAGGTTTGCTAGTTTATTTAACATTTTTTGCAAGTGTTGTGATCTGTAGTAACTGTAACACTTTCACTATTAAGGATTGGTAAAGATTTCAGAGTTGTAAGAACGTAATTGTAGTCAACAGCTTTGCCTTTTTAAAGCACGTTAATGGTTTTTATGGACACTTCCTTTTGTATACTGAGTGAATGTAATTGTTATAGATTTAATGTTTAATGGACCAATAAAGTTTTTCTTACATTTGAAATGAATTGTTGTCATATATAAAAGTTGAAAAGTCAACTCACTAGTTGATCTTTTCTGTTCCCTACATTTGGATGTTGTTTAACAAAAAAATGTTGGCCCATGGAATATTACACGGCTGCACTCTCCATGTTATTTTTACACTCCTCCAGACCATGATCTGAGAAGGTGGCAGGTTGCACAGATCTGCACAATCCAGCTCTCTGAGATGTGTCAGATACCTCTGACAGTGCAAACAAAATATTTTCCAGGCCAAGGCCACTGAAGCCCATGCAGTTCTTTGAAACAAGGATCTCTGATTTTTTTTTCCCCTCATTAGCCCAGACGGTGGAGTAGGCAGCTGCTGAATTTGACACCAGGAAAGTGCTGTGTCCCCATGGCTCCTGGTC